CTTGGTTTTCATGAACTCACTTATGTGGTTCAGAATTGATGCAGTTTTGGTTGTGCACTTTCAGTTTGAATTTCCAATTACCTGTGGCTGTTTTGTTTATGCAGCTTATGAACTGTCTTGCTTTGAGTTCTGTTATCAATTTTGTACTGATGCTGGTGTGGAATTTCAGGTGTTGGAAACTTTCGAAAACAAAATGACTCAGACCTGCCGGCATCCGGGTCTGAGTCCGAGTTTACCTTTGTATCAGTTTGGAAATCCAATTGCGGCAAAAGCGAATCAGTCCCGCTTCTTTTATCACTTCTATCTCTCGGATGTCCCGCATGATAAGAACAAATGTTACTTGATCTGACGCCAACGGCGCGGATTGGTAACGGGGGTAGGACGCAGCCTCGGTTGTGCCACTCCCGGCACTCGATGATGACGCTGTTCTGAGAGTGTCAAAAATAATTTCTAACCCCTTCTATTCTGTTCTGTTTTGTTTTGTTTCTCTTTGTGCAGGTTAATCGGAGGTTTGCGGAGTAATGTCCAATGGATGAACATCATGAAGACACCAATGGAGGTTTAGGACTTAGGATTTTTAGGATAGAAGTAACATTTGTACTTTAATTTTACAGCAATTCAGAATGTAAAATGATTCAACTCCTTTTGTACCACGATATTCTTTATAAAATAAAAATTCCCAAAAGTTTTCATTTATCCATGATCATTCAGTTTTGAATTTATTTATATTTATTTCTAGTTAAAAAATTATAAACGTTTGTGAATAAATCCACAAATATTTAAATTCATTAACCTAGTCATAAACCATAAATATTCACGAGTGATATTCTTGTTTACGTACTTGTCTCGCCCGTAGTCCTAATCTCATCACCTGATTAAATTCACTTGCATTCCAACTTAAATTCTAACCAGCAACTTTATAACCAAACACAGATGTGTGCCGTAATCACAACAGATTCAGTATCAATGATAACCTTGCCCGTAATTGAATTCCACTGATCAAATACTAAGAGCAACAATCCAATAATATCCAATTAAACTGTGCCTTGTTAACAGAAACGGAAGTGCTCTGGGAATAAACCATGAGCGATGAAATGGATCTTAAATCCAGTTGTGCCCGACAAATTTCGATACCGAACACATGGAATTGGCGCCTTGATATAATCAAACCAGGTGATAAATACATGCCTCAGAAATAGTGTCTCAAGTGTCTCAAAACTCAGTAAAAGCCTGTCTTCAAAGAATTAGCGGAATCTACGTAAAATGACCAAAATACCCCTGGAACCGATCCTGCAAACAAATACCTCCATGACTTGATAGTGGTTAGCAGATGCACAGATGAGATGCTATGCGAAATGACTGACTAAATATAAGGGTAAAATTTGGGGTATTACACCAACTTTATAATTAATTGGTATATTTAGTTAAAACTAATCATAACACAACTAACCAAAAATATTGGAATTACATTCAAACAATGGTTCCTTCAAAATTTCAAGAGAAGCATCACCTAGCATCCTTATAATCTCTTTGAATTGATCACCCTTAAGGCCCTATCATATATTAGATGTATGTATATCAGTATGACAATGCACCACATTAAACTTTCCTTTTATAACTTGATCTCTTGAGAAATGAGATCTATGTGTTATTCTTTCCTTGAGTTAGACACTCGATATTTAGCAAGATTAATGGTGAAGATATTTTCTATAATCAACGGCTCATGCTTCAACACTTTAATATTTAATTTATCAAGAAGAGACTATAACAATAAGTGCATATATTTCAACTATTTATTCAGCCTCGCATAAGAAAAAACAAAGAAATAACAAACTGTTTTTTTAAAACATTGAGAAATTTGAGCTTTTATGAAGCTAAATACATAATTTATTGTAACTCTTTTTTATTTTAATCCAACATGTAAATTCGTGCTACCCCGTCATAACTTCATTTACTTAGCAGGTTAGTTAGGGTGGACGAGCTAGTGGTGAGTTGAAAATCTCAACTAATCTTGCAAATACAACGGTCTAAATTGATTAACAAAAAAATCTTACCCATTTTTTCATCCCTACTCACCACACCAATCATTATTTGAAAATTCAAGCAAATTACTTTCATCTACACCTACGCTACTTAGAGAAAAACCCTATAATCAAGGTACCTTGCAAGTATCTCACCACCCTTTTTGTAGCAAGAAAAAGAGATTTTATTGGATCATCCATGAATCTACTTACTATTCTAAATCCATAACAAACATATAATCTGCTTTTACATTTACATAGGTATCTCATAGATCATAATATTTGCTCGAATAAAGTTTTTACTATGCCATCCTCTCCACCTCCTTTATTTAGTTTAAAATTTTATTCAACCGCTAGTGTGGCAGGGTTTTAGTTTTCAATATAAAATTTCCTTAGAATTTTTTGTTGAGATACGAGTGGGAGTTAGAAGTCTCACATTTCTTAAAAAAGTGGATGTTGAATACTTTATAAGTGAGAGGACTCTTATACCTAATCCCTTAAGGTTTTAAGTGAATATGTGATCTCTCTCTCACTTGAAGGGTTGCTCTTGACTTAATATGAATGATCACTTCATGACCGATTAGTGGTATTAAAGTTTGGTTCAATTAAGGGATATGGTCCTTGTATCGAAATTCTTCTTGAAAAAGTGGTGGTTTGGAGGCATGTTTTATTAAAGGGTATGTGATGTGGTAAGGGTGGAAACAACAATACAATTGTATATGGATGAAAGAACTTCTATTTGAGGGGAAACATATAAGTGGATGGATTCACACTTAAGGGCGAGATTATTGTGATACAAGTGTGAGTTGAAAGTCTCACATTGTTTGAAAAAGTAGAGGTTAAATACTTTATAATTGAGAGGTTCATATATTTAATGCCTTAAGTTTTTGATAGAATATGTAGTGTCTCTCTTACTTGTGTGGTTGCTCTTGACCAATGTAGATTCTCCCTAAAGAGAGAAATATTTGTTATATATGCTAGATATTATACTTCCTTCTTATATGGTGAAAGACTCAAATATATTAATCCATTATGTCTCACTTATATTAAGTGGATAAGGTCATTCTAGGTTCAAAACATAGTGAGAAAAAAGAAGAAGAAAATAAGCCATAATGAGTAAAGAAGTGAGAAAACTCATTCCTAGTTTTCTTAAATCAGTTCCAGAAAAATAGAAAATTCTAATTTGTTAACCCTTGAATCAGAATAATTTTTGGGTAAAAGGTTTGTGAGACATAGTTCTACATTTTCACCATTTAGATAGTCGAAACAAGATATGAGATAGAGATATAGTACTTGCACTACACTAGGTTTTTTGGGTGCTATTCATTTTCTCGTTCTCAAATTATAAGTTTTTTGTGCTTTGTTGTTTTGTCTGGCTATTGATGCAATTGTAGCTTCATTTAATCATAATGGGTATATTTCTTTGATTAAAACAACCAGTGAATTTTAGTCTTTCCTTGAGAGGTTCTCCACATTAAATATTTGTGTTCTTTATTCACTTTCAATTGTTATATTTTCTTTCATATATTTATTGTTGCTCTTAAATATTCTTGCAAATTTAAATTTTACATATGCTATGTATTGTGTGTTATTGTGTTTTTGTGTTAAACTCCATCATTTCTATTGTGTACTTATGTTGGAGAAAATCATTCCTGCAATTGTGTTTACAAATTCTATAACAAGGAAGTATTTTCAATCTTCCTATACTTGTTATTTTGAATTCACTCTTCAATGTCATTAAGAAGTCTTCAAATTATTTGGTGTTCCTTTCGATAATAGATTTGTTGTTGACATAAAATTTTAATTAAAATAAAGTCAATTTTTTTATTCAACTTAACATCAATACCATTCTCATATACACGGTGTTGTTGTGAATAAGAGACCTTATAAAAAAGTACAAATGGTTTCTTTATGATCAAGAAACACACAAGGTTAGGGTTAACAAAGATAACAAGGTAAAACAACAAGGAACAACAAACATTGGTTATTAAACTGCTATTCTTTCCTTTCTCTTAGAACAAGATTACAAGTATACAAGAATAACAAAATAACTTCTCTCTCATGAAATTAGGATTTTATCTTCCTATTTTTCCTTATGCCAAGATTGAGAAACTAGCATCCTATTTATAAGACAAATAGCACACTAACCTAATGGGATTTTTAACAATTACCCATTACAAGCTAACTTAGGGTACAAGCTAACTTAAACAATTGGGATTACAAGTAAGACCCAATTCAACATACTAACAACCACTACAAGAAAATTTGTCAATACCCAGGGCCAAAAACCCTCGGTAACAAGAAAAAGCCGTGGGAAAAGTAAATTACCGAGGGCTTACCAACGACTATGGGGCCCTCGGTATTTCGCTCCTTGGTAACGTCTACCGACGGCTATATAAACCCATGATATTATCCACGGCTAAACCGTGAATAGTTTGCGGGTAATAGGTTATCAAATATCAAATTTTTTGTCTTATATTATCCACGGTTAAGCCGTCAGTAAATTTACCGAAGGCAAAGCCGTCTGTAAATTTACCGAGGGCTAAGCCATCAGTAAAGTTACTCAATTTTTGGTATAACTTTACTGACGGTTAAGCCATCTGTAGTATTATAATTTTTTTAATCAAAAATACCAATATTTCATCAATAGACTTATTTTGTTAATATTTTCCCTGTTTGAAGACAATATGAATATTTTTTCATAACAACTTATTAATAAATAAAAACTCTTTTATGAATATTTTTTTATATTATAAATCTACAAAACTCTTTTTTTATCATGACCATAATTATATATAACATTTCAACAAACAAATCTCAAACAAAAACTCAAACCTTAATATCAATGAGATCTCAAAAAATATTCCATTCAACAAGTTTGATGTAAACAAGCTTAAACAAAACATAAAACATGTTCAATCAAAATATAATGTGATTGTCAAAGTATTCTCATGAGTAAAAGTAAAGCATAATATGATCTTAAATGCTTCCAATAGAGTCATCATCACTGTCGGAGTCATCATCATAGTCTGAATGACGACGACGACGTTTGTCACCTTTGATAGAAGCAACACTTTCAGCTAATTCCCTCAATTGTCTTTCCAAATCTTGTGTGCGTTTATTTGCCTTGCGACATTCCTCTCGTGCAACTCGAGCATCTTCCTCTGCAGCATTTGCTCTCTCTTCAATTGTTGCCATTTGTGCAGCAATCTCAGCAGAAACTTGACCGCTACATGTAGATACACGTGACTGTTGGGTTATTAACGAGGAAACACCTGGCTTGTAATGCTTAGACAAGTCACCAGCACCATAGAGACGCCCTCTAGTCTTTCCACCGGCAGCTTCAGCCCAAAAATTTAGTCGAGTTGCAGAATCAACTTCCTTAGGGCCACTATTTGATGTCTCTCCTACTTGAGAGGCGTGTTTTAGCTTCTCTTGAAATGTTTCCTGATAAAAAAATACTTAAAATTATATACATTACAATATTTTCACGATACGAACTAACAGAACAATAATCATTTAATTGTTTGTTGAAAGTAGCAAAAACAGGAATTTCGACCAAAATCTATTAATTGTATGTAACTTGTCCTTTTCAAATAAATGGTATTAAAGATTTTATCCAAGCATACATCAAAATTTAGTAATTACACTTACATATGTCTTCTTTGATCTTTCGTCCACCCATGAGGAGTCCTTCTTTTTTGTATGAGTCCTTAAGAAGACTTCATCTAATGTGGGCTCTCTACCTAATTCCCGACGCTTATGCATTATAAAAAATTGATGTCAAATGTTAGGAAAAAATAAATTATGAGCTAAAGTTTAAGGAATCAAGTGTTTAAAATGAATGACATACCATTCGTATGATGTGCTCATTTGTGGATATGGAGCCACCCGTATGGACAGATCCACCCTTAGCAGATGCCCGATTTTTCTTATTCCTGGCAGCTTTGACCTTATACTCTGGTGTTTCCCATTTAATTTTGAGCCCTTTCCAAGCACCCTCTCCCATCCAAGATGGACGTTCTTGTTTCTTCCTTGCATCCATCAGAATCTCTGAGAGGCGCTTTGAGCCTTTGCTCTTAAAGATACTCTTGAGTTCAAACTCATCCTCAGGCCGCCAAGCAACTATTTTCTGCAACATTTTAATAATAGACAAATTAAGAAGCAACGGATTAGAAGACCAGGTCCAAACCTCAAAACCAGAAGAAAAAAAATCATATAACATTAAAATAATAGTTCCTTGCAGGCTATAAAATTTTAGTTGTTGATTTTTTTTGAAGGTAATTTAGTTTATGTTTCAGTTAGACTTATACTTTTGGTGCCACAATTTAGTCATTCTATGGGGGATAATTTGTAGGTCTGGATCATGGACAGGAGGACATGGAGGCTGGGTTGAGCTTTCTGGTAAAATGCAAGTCTTGGCTAGAAATATGATTTATCATATAAGTTTAGTCCATATAACCTATCACTTTTAATGGAGCAATAAAGGCTAGTTTTTTTATTTTATCTAACCTAACAGATATAAACCACATCTATTATTCAACACCATGGTTAATCACTTGGAAAAAACCATGGTTCAAACAAGCCTCACGAACCAGGCACTTTATAAGCACTCACGTGGGGTTGAACTTGAAGTTCACACAATAATTGACATGAATTCATCATCTCACGAACACTAAACTATAGTGATGTTGCTTATAGAGTATAGGAGACGGATATTATTGTTAGCCTGCAAGGAACTATGTATTTTAATATTATTGTTACTTATTTATTTTTTTTTCTTTTAAAAACAATTCATATAATTTTTTGTTCACAATGAAAGTACTTTTTTAATCTTATTACTTTATAGTTAAGTTAGCTATCCTAACTAAACAAATTATAAACAAATTAGAAGTACATAAATTAGCTATCCTATTTAGTTATTAATAACTCTCTATCAAAACTAAACAAATTATAAATAAATTAGAAGTACAGAAATTAGAAAAACTAAACAAATTAACAAACTTACCCCAAATTTCGTGAACATCCTATTCACCCTTTTATCTGGTATCTCCCTCCAACTAATCCATGCCTTACGGAATTGTGACTCAATTACTTTGGTAAGGGCCCTCGAGGCCACCCTACACGGGTTCCACCTACATGCAAATTATAAACAAAATATTAAAATACATTATAGACACGTCAACATAAGTGATAAATTAACATAAAACAAATATGTACCCTCTCCCATATGGAAAAATATAGGGCCTCCCATCAGTTGTCTTATGAATCTCATGACAAGAGTGTCTTGATTCTTGCACCAGATCATCACTGGTTTGCACATGTAGCGAACCAGATTGAGTGTTTGGATCCGACATATGTCGTGAACCTTGAGCTGATGAGGAAGGATCTCTGACATGTAAAGATGTTTCTATTGCCTCATGTGGCCTAAAATCTGGAGTTGGCACCATAGTTATAGGTGGATCTTTTGGATTCTCATTGTCTTGTATCTCCGCATCCACTTGTCCAGAATCATGTTGTTCCACTTCCACTTGTCTTTCATCTTGTTGCTCCACATCCATCTGCTCCACATCATGTTGTTCTAGTTCTAGATGCCTTGCATTATGTGCATTCTTGGCTGCTTGAGTCACCTTATGCGGCAAAACCATCTTCCTTTTCTGCTTTGGTGGGATCACCCTACCTTTTCCTTTTGGAGGCATCTGTAGAGAAAAAATAATATATATTAACTTTTAAATACTAAAAATAACAAAGAACTAAAATATATGCACTAGCAACAATTTTATGCGATTATAATGAAAAAAGTAGTCATTATATACACATTTTACAATGATTCACAAGTGAAAGTATCAAAAATATTTTATATGGTTTAATCTTGAATTGCAAAACAAGTTGCTCTAGCTATTTTCTTCAACTCACTTTTGGAATGTGTTGAAGATATGGATAATATGGTGTTAGTAACTTCATCATCGATATTATTATCTTCCCTATAATCATTATCTGCACTAGCATTAATTTGCATGCTAGAAATTAATGTAACATCAACTTCTTCATCACTATGTGTTTCATCGTGCAAGCCGGTTATATCTTCAATTTCAGTTATCTGTTCAACGTGAGCCATCTCTTCATCTTGATAGGGTGTATCATCATCAATGTCAACAACCTCTATACGACCTCTGGGCTTTGTCTTTATCACTGCACACCAACCACGTTTGTCTACACGCATTTCTGGGTAAGGTACATAATACACTTGTTTGGCCTTTTGTGCAATTATGAATGGATCATAACGATCATATTTTTTGTTCATCTTGATATCTACAATATCATAATGAGGATGAACTTTTGTTCCTCTACCTCGTTTTGGATCAAACCATTGACAGTAAAACAAGGCTACTTTGTGAGATAATTCATGATACTCCAACTCAAAGATATGTTTAATGACTCCATAGAAATCATCTTCCCCACCTTCTGTAATCCCCTTCACATAAACCCCACTATTTATGGTCTTTTTACCTTGACTCCATGCTTGTGTGTGGAATTTGTACCCATTAATGAAGTATTTGTGCCAACTCATGGCATTTGATTCAGGACCCCAAGCTAATGATATTAGTTTTTTGTCTGTCACACCATTTCCCTCATTAGTGGCCTACACAAACATGAAATTCACAATAAAGATAAAGTGATTAATTTTTTTACAAGTTTGAATGACAACACTTACATACTCTCGAAACCATTCTGGGAATTCTCCATGTATAAGAGTTGAAGCTGAAGGATCCTCTTCATTGATGGACTTATTTTGCAAGAAAATACTGGCAATAAAGAGAGAATTATTGTGATGTATGTATTGTAAATGTTTATTTTGTGCCTATCTTTGTTTCATTACTTACTTAATATATGGCTTAACCTCATTGCAATTAATGAGAATGTGTACATGAGCAGATCTCCATTCAGCATCAGTCAACCAATGTATTTGGGATTTTCCACTAGGACGTCCAAGAGGGTTGCTTATTGACAATGTTGGCACTACATCATCGTTCAGTCCTAACGCTTCATTATGTTTGCTTGTGGCAAATAAGGTGGCCGTTTTGAAATAGTGGGAACAAAAATATGTTGTCTCTCGGTGTAAATACGACATACATATTGAGCCTTCCACTCTAGCCTTATTCTTCACTGACCGCTTAAAATCTCCCATCATTCTTAAAAAAAATGAGTGTTAGATCTTCTATGAAATGTGAAAGATTTAAAATGAATAAATTAATAATTAGGAATGTATGCAAAATACCTTTCAAATGGATACATCCATCGATATTGTACAGGACCACCAAGTTGTGCCTCATAGGGAAGGTGAATTGGAAGATGCTCCATAGAATCAAAGAATCCTGGTGGAAATATTCTTTCAAGTTTGCATATGATGACTGGAATGTTATCACCTAATTTAATCAATTCATCTTTTCTTAAGGTATTGCTGCATAATCCCTTAAAGAATTGACTTAACTCTGTAAGTGGTTTCCATACAAGATCAGGCAATGAACTAAATGCAAATGGAAGTAAACACTCCATAAACACATGACAATCATGACTTTTCATTCCGTGCACTTTCCCTTTATTGACATCCACACATCTAGCCAAATTTGAAGCATATCCATCTGGCATCTTAAGCTCCTTTATCCATTTACAAACTTTTTTTGCCTCATCAGAAGAAAGACAGTAATTTGCCTTAGGTTTTGTCATCTTTCCATTCTCGTGTTTAATCAACTCTAAGTCACTACGTTGACAAATGATGGCCAAGTCCATTCTAGCTTTTTCATTGTCCTTTGTCTTGTTCTTAATATTCATGACTGTATTAAACACATTATCGAAGAAATTTTTCTCAATGTGCATCACGTCTAGATTGTGCCTTAATAAATTGTCTTTCCAATATGGAAGATCCCAAAATATGCTTCGTTTAGACCAATTATGGCTTTCTCCATATCCTTTTAATTTAGAAACTCGATTGTCTACAAGTTCCCAAAGATCACGAACCCAACAATATATTTCTTCTCCTGTCAATATAGAAGGTGGCTCTTCCTTCACAACTTTATTTTTTGTGAACCTTTTCTTACTTCTTCGAAAGGCATGATTACATGGTAAGAACCTACGGTGACAATCAAACCACGAATTTTTTCCACCATATTCCAGTGTAAAAGCCTTATTTCCATCCATACACACTGGACATGCCAACTTGCCTTGAGTACTCCACCCTGATAACATACCGTAAGCTGGAAAGTCATTAATTGTCCACATTAATGCTGCCTTCATTACAAAGTTTTGTTGAGTGGAGATATCATAAGTCAAAACCCCTTGATTCCACAAGTTCTGAAGCTCGTCTATTAATGGTTGTAAGTACACATCAATGTGAGCTTTTGGATTATGTGGTCCTGGTATGAGGCATGTTAAAAACATAAATGGTTTAGTCATGCACAATTCAGGGGGGAGATTATATGGTGTCACAATCACAGGCCAACAAGAATATGGGGATGAAGATGCCTGAATGTATGGTGTAAAACCATCAGAACATAAACCTAGCCTCACATTTCTTGGTTCATTCGCAAAGTCCGGATGCATCTCATCAAAATTCTTCCAAGATTTACCATCAGATGGATGACGTAAAACACATGAACTTGAATTATTATGATGATGCCATCTCATATCTTTTGCAGTTTCTATTGAGGCATACAATCTTTTTAACCTTGGAGTGATTGGCAAGTAGTGCATTCTCTTAACCGGAACGTCATTGTAATTACCCATCCCAGGCTTACGAGGAGCATATCGTGGTTCATGGCAAAACCTACACTCTCGATCTGCAATCGTATCTTTGTAGTACAACATGCACCCATTCACACAACAATCAATTTTTTGAGACTTCAAACCAAGCATGGACACCAACTTTTTTACTTGGTAGAAATTTTTTGGCAATGAATCCTTTGAAGGGCACACTTCTAGAAGCATGTTTGCAAAGAAATCAATACATTTTTGAGGTACATTCCAATTTGTTTTGCAAGCCATAAGCTTCACACATACTGAAAGTTTCGATTCAGAAGCACCCTCATATAATGGTTGGTTTGCAGAAGTTAGCAGATCATAAAATTCTTGAGCTTCCTTATTTGGTGGCTCTTCATGATTGTCTTCCTTATTAACATGTTCTCTATCAACCTCATATTCATCGACATTATCTTCATTAATCCCCCTTTCCTCACCAACCTCGTTCTCATTTCCCACATCCTCGTTAACATTATATTCGTTATCGACATCCTTATCACCTTTGTTGCCCATACTTCGAAAATCATAATCAGGCCCTATTGCATCCTCGACCATATGTTGCATTAATTCAAAATGGTCTTCATTATCCACATGTCTACTACTAATTGGTACATTTGCTGAGTCAATACGTGGGGCTTTTTCACCGTGATCTGTCCAATACCAATAATTTGGTTGGAATCCATATTTATACAAGTGAAATCTAACGTCACCTTCGGACAATACCGGCACACACATGCACTTGTTACAAGGACATCTAATTCCACCATCGCGTTCAACATTAAGTTGCATTTTAGCCTTTTTAATGAACTCATCAACCCCGTTTACAAAGGTTAGTTTCAAACCCCCCCTATGAGGATAATGCCTATCATATACCCAACTACGTTCTGGAGGGTAACGATCCATATACAATCAGCAATCTAGACAGAAGCTATCTAGACAGAAGAAATAAATTAAAAAATCAGCAGTCCACACAATCTAACGATCCATATACCCAACTACGTTCTGGAGGGTAACTACATATATCTCTATTGAATTTAGATAGTTCAATCTAACTATCCAAATAAATTATAAGAACACAAATTATATTAATTCTTACCTTCCACAAATTATTTTAATATTAATGTACTCTTAAATGACATTTATAATTGATTTAAAACTTGAAATAAATGGACAAAATTAAGAGTAAACAAACAAAACCGATATTTCATACCCAAAAATATGTTCATGAGTTTGTACCTAAAAGATAACATACAAGAAGACTATAGAAATGGATATGATTGGGATTAGTAATATGCTGTCATAGTAATATGCATACATTTTTCTGTGCCTGTCATTTTAGTGATATATATTAAACTTTAGTCAATTTTACTACATAGATATGGATATGATTGGGATTAGTAATATGCTGTCATAGTAATATGCATACATTTTTCTGCATTTATAGTTTAATTGCAGCCAAGTTAACTGCATAAGTTTCTGTTTTCCTTATAAATATAAATATACATTGCTATTAGACTATAGAAACAAACAACACCTAAACAGTCTCATCTCACTTTTCCATCATCTCAGTATTGAATAATTATTTAGTAATATTAATAAATATTCTAATTCTTAATTGATATATTTATATAGATATCTATCGCATGGCCATAGGAAATATGGGAAAGAAATAAAAATAATGCCAAAGAATTTTATCTCTACAGGACTTCAAAGTGAGTCTTGCACACTGTTTTAAGAAAAGAAGATCACACTTGTTTCATAAAAATAAATTGCTACAATATTATGAATTAAAAAGAACCACCTTCATTGATACATGATCAATGCTACAGGGCTTAGGAAGATGTCACTACATCACTATTAAATTTCACTACATTTTGTAAGTAATATTTTCACTTTCCTTTAC